AAAAGGTAAGAGCCCATACCCTACTGTTTATGACATTTCCACAGCATAGACAAGCACGTGGCAGGACAAACCCTAGAAAGTCTTGCTGAAAAATCGCAAAAGAGTTTTTGTGTGAGGTGGTATGCTGGTGGATGCTGTGTCTGGTATGCAATGACAGGGACACCTGGGACACCCTGAAACCGTTGTCAGGCTTGAGCTACGGCTGCTGCTCGCCCACTGTGTAGCCTGGCAAGGACAGCGTGGGCAGCTATCCAACAGACCAGCATGGACATCGTCCTGGTGCCTTCCCTGCAGCATGAGAGTCCATGGAGACATAGCAGAATTTGGCGTGGTCTTAAATCAAGACTAGAACGTGTCATAACAGCTGACTAGTCTGTTCGTCTATGCACAGCTCTAGTCACCTCTCTGGGATAGATCAAGCTAGTTTCTGCTAGTCCCTGGAAAAAGGATGAGGGAGGGTTTCCCAGCCAGCTGCAGTGGGACAAAATTATGTCACATATAGACACATCTGTAGCACTGGATTAGTGGTTGGTCAGCTTTATCTTGGGCCAGTATGTAGACAGCTGCTAGGCAGATTTATGTTGCCAGGTAATCCTGTGTTTAATGCTCTGGCAATGCCAGAGCTGAAGATCTGGGGAGGAGGGACTGCCACACCTCGCTTTGTTTGGGTGCCCTGCGGCTGTGACATGGATGTGGACCACCCTGGTCATGATTACAGGTCTCGTCCTTTATTTATGAGAGTATCATGGGAGGTTCCTCTGCAGAGAAATGCCATTCTCTCTCTGACAGCTGGGGTCCTGTGGGTTCTTGCACTGGGGGAGCCTGCACTCACTGGGTCATCAGCCAGATTGCTTTCATGAAATCCTTCACATCCAAAGCCAAGACAACATGAACCATCTGAGAATTTGCCCTGAAGTGAGCCCCTGCAGGATGACACGGAGGCAGCTATAAACCCCGCGATCATTCTGCTACAGCCGCTGGAGTGCTGCACCGAAGTATGCCCCTCTGGAGCTCCCTGCCTGCTCTCTCTCCTGTCATCTTTGCAAAAGGCAGTGGCACCAGCCTTCTGCGATTCCTGCACACCCTGCACCAGGATGCTGTTTGGTGCTGCTGCCGATGGGAGCTTGGCAGTGACTTCAATGAAACCAGACGGCTACACAGGGTCTCACATTGTGCTTGGTCCTGTTATCAGAGACATAAAAGGAAGAAGGGCCTTCTTACATTCCCCTACGTGACACAGAGCAACAGCTCCACATGTGGATTTTTTTTGTTCTTTTGGGGAGAAGGGAATGAAGGTGGGTCTAGTAGAATAAATCGCAGGACTTTTTGTTTTGTTTAAAGCCATTGTGTAATTACTGCCTGTATTTTCTGTAGTCACATTCCTACAGCTACAATCACAATAGAAGGCAGCTTATTTTTAAGATGAGAAAGACTTGTTGAAAGGTTACAGTAAAGCAAGAAAAGCGAACAACATTGATAAAGCATGCCCTTACTATAAAATTATCAGCTGTAATCCTTACTTTCATATAAACCTGGTTTTGGTTTCTAGCTGCAGGCTAAAAACTGTGACAATGGTAGTATGCTTTCTCAAATGCAATAGCAAGGTGAAAGAAAAACAATCCAAATATATATAAAAAAACTAACGTTGTTTTCTTATATGAAAAAAGTATTTTTTTGTCTCTGGAGAAATGCCACATGCATGCCTAAAGCATAAAATACAGTGAAGGGATGGATGGCAGTATTTAAAACATGCAGATGAGCTCCAGAAACTTCTAGGGGCATTAGCATAGCTGGCTGCGAAGGTACTATTTACCTTAGGAGTCACTGGGTAATGTGTAACATATACAGAAAAGAGAGGTACAAGGTCAGCTCTCTTAAGCTTAGGAGCTCTGGTAGTTTGGTATTGGAAGTATTTTTTATGAGGCCCTCTGCCATTTAACTTCCAGGAAAAAAATACTGTAGCAAACAAATTCTTTCAACCCTTCCTTTTCTCTCTCATTTTCTGTGTAAGAAAGCAAGATATTTTCTATTTTTTTTGTCTTGAGAGTGCCAGAAAACTAAGTAGAGAAGAGAGAAATACTAACCAGCTTCTTCCAGAAAAACTCCTGTATCTACAGATGTATATATTTTAGTGTTTCAGAGGAACATTATGATTATCTAGTCAGAACTGCCTGACAGGCTGTAAAACCTCACCAAGTAATCTCTCCATCAAGCACATAACATCTGTCTGAGTAATTGCATACCTCTTAGAGAGATACCTAGTCATGATTTAAGGGCTGCAAGCGATGAAGTTCTGCAGTCCTTACTCAGGATTTGACTCAATGAAAACATTGGCATGTTATGCTCTGTCTGTTAGGTTTGGAGGAACAGAAAGAAATACCTGGCTTTAAATAGAGTCTTGTTTGAAATTTGTATGAATAAACGCTACAGAATTTTAAGCAAACAAAAAGAGAATGCTTCATAAGAATTCTTGTGCACCACCTTCTCTTTTGTAAGGTCCCAAAACCATGTTCTTCTATCCATTTTCTTGGGATTTGCAGAGAACATTGACAAAAAAGATTAATTCTGCAGGTGGGTTGGTGGGTCTCTTTGTGTTTAAACTGATTTACTTTTCAATTCAGTGACCTATAGGAACAGTTTCCAGCCATCTGTATGATGCATTGTTTCAAATATATAGTTCAGTCTTGTTTTACGCATAGTAATACTCCACCTTCCGTATCTTTTCAAAGACACTAATGTCGAGAGAATTACAGCAGAGGTGCCAGCTTTAAGGAGTGAGATAAATTATCTCACCAGTGCCATAGGAATTCAAACTTCCATACGCCAATGAGACTCCAGGTGTGCAGGGCAAAATGGTGACTGAACTGCTCACTTACTGACAAACACCACAAAAGCATACGAGCTCTGTGGCAGAAATAAGGACTAACTGGCATTCTGATCAACATATTTGTGCCTGAGGTGGAAGCTGTGTAAATATACTAGGTTGTTAAATGTGATCAAGAACCCTGATAAATATATACAGCCAAAAGATGGCACTTTCTTAACAGATGCGGATACAATATGTTCACAGATCATGTCAGGATGTGAGCCTATGCTAGTAGGCAACTTTAAAGTACACACTGCCAGAAACTACTTGCCCTCTTTCAGACACATTGATAAATAGTAGAAAAACATTTCAGAAAACAATAACATTGCCAAAACACGATCATATTGGTAATCTTGTTTTCTGTGGTAGTGAACATTAGGAATACATAAACATTCAAACTGTGGTAGCTTTTCTCTTTGAAGCAACAAATGTTTCCAATATTCATTTGCACCATCTGACACGAGAATAGATTTTGCTTACGTCCAGTGGTGTCCCGCTATTGCTTGAATTGACTGTCACAGCTGAAGGTCATGGAGTGACTCGGTGCCAATGCAAACAGACGAAATACTGGAAAGCCACTTTTAAAAATCTTACCTTACTAAAAGCAAGCACAAACTCCTGAAAAATGTAAACTTTGAGAAGAGAAGCATCGGTCATGGATTCCTAGCTCATTTTTCAAAGTTAAATCAACAGAAAAAGCAGTCATAATATTTGTACACCTAAATAAAACAAGCTAGGATTTTACTTTGGGGCTTAAAACAGCCCGGTTCATTTCCTTAGGCAGATAGAGACTTCCTGTGTGACCTTGGATAAGTCGTGTGGGACAGGGTTTTTGAAGGTATGTAAATGCCTAGATGGATATTTAGATGGGCATTGGGGTATTTGCTACAGATTCTCTAACTAACAGGCACTGAAAATGAGTGCACATCTACATTTAAAATGATCTCTATGTGTTTCTCCCAGAGGTGAGTCTGCGGATAATTAGGGGTTCAAAAGCCCATGAATCTGGTCTATTATAAACAGTGAAATTCAGAATTACTTTCACTTTACGTTTTGTTGATAAGGTAGTACAGTGCTCATGAAGCCTTTGAGACCTGACAGTTCCAACAGTCCACTCTAGGAGAGTAGACTCTGTTCTCCTCTGTAATATGAGAATAATTGTGCCTTCACTAGGAGCTGTCAAATAAACACAGGACACATTGTGAGACAGTAATATCATGTGATAATGTTGCCATATTTCAAGCTTGAGTTAAAACAAGGAGAAGAAAATATCCATGTGATGCATAAAGAATATGTTTGTTCTGTAACCTGCTCTCCCTATTTCCACAGTTCATCAGAGGAGGGAGAAAGAATGCATCTCAATTCTCTTTTACAAAAATATAAATTAGATAGGGGGGGGAGTCCTTACACCAAAAATTAATAGCATGTAAGCAGCAGAAATCACACAGCTGAGTGTTACTCAGTACGTCCTGGAAGGTGCTGAGCACCTCAGAATCAGGACAGAATTTGTATATTTGTTTCAGCTCGATTCTCCATTACTAAATTAAATGAGTCATCTCAACTTAGGCAGAATTCCCTTGGAATCAAGAGGACTAATTACACAAAAATCACTCAGGACAGAAGGAGTAGCAGTGGGGTCCCTAAGGGAGCACAGCTACGCACACCCTAGACAATTGAAAAAGCTCTTTCCATAATGCACATCGCATTTGTGTGAATAAGGTAATTGCTGATGGGAAGGCACCATCGGTGTTTATTAAACATGATGGCTCAGAAGAAACATCTGGCTCAAGGAATCCCTTGATTTGAGGAGCCTGGAAGGGATATCAGGGAGAAACAATTTAAACATATTTCCTATAATCCTTCATAAGCATTTGCTATGAGCAACCATCAGAGGCAGGATAATGCAGAAGGCAGTTTCTCTGACAGTTACTATAGTCCAATGCTTGACTGTCACAGATTGCATCACATGTATGAGAAGCTATATTACAGTCAGAAAACGGCATTCTCAGATTTCTAGATCATAAACTTCAACATTTACACTTACCATTTTTTACCCACCACAGTGGACCAGTAAGACATGACTCCTCAGGGTATTTATGTTGACGGAGTAGACAGTGCAGATATTATGAGATTGCTGTACGCCATTTAACAGTTTAGTTTTGCTGTACTTTTTAGTTTTATAGAAATACATTTATTCTTTGTACTAAGAGGCAAAAACATTTCTGCTTCAAATTATTCAGCTCTGGTTAGTCCACTTTAATTATTGCATATAAAAGTGTTTTATTCTTTTCTTCAATCAGACTGGCAGAGATCACTTAGAGCATTCAGCTAGAACAGTCTCAATAAAAACTAATCAAAAGCTCCTGTGAGTTTGAGCATGGGATCTGGTAAACTCAGTAACAAACAAAACATAATTCTAAACATTTGTGTTTACAAAAAATATTACAAAATCTGAACAATAAGTTAATAAAGTGAAATAGTTATCTACTCTTCAGATATAAAAATCCCAGCAACTGAATTTATATATCACTATAACAGACATGAAAAAATTTTGAATAATGCTATCCACTGTCATAAGTGGTACTTCAAGACTTCCAACAGAAACTTATATTTTGATTTTCTGTTCATATACAGCCAAAAGTAAGAGGCAAAGCCAGCCTAATAGTAATCCGAGGTTCTGTAGGAGAAACATCAACCAGGGTCGCTGTGTCTGAATGTGAGTCATTTCAGGAAGCTAAAAAAGGAACAAGACACCAAAATGAGAGCCAGATATATTCATCTCTGGGAAAAAAAAAGTCTTATGGGAAAACAAGACAAACTTCATTAAAAAAAACCTTTCAAAATGCTGAGTTTCTGAATATAGCTATTAATCTGTAGCATGTTCTGTACATTGTAACAACACCAAGCTTGACAGCAAAATATTTAAATTAATCAAAATGTACACATTTTTGTTCTTTTACTAGCACCGACAAGAATTATAAACGAGATTCTAAAATTCATTAACTTCTCAATAGTTTTTAGTAATTTTATATGTCTGTCTGTAAGGAAATGCTTATTTAGTAAGATTTGTAATTCCCTTTTGGAGGAATAAACTAGTTTGAGTTTTTTTGTTTCAGTACTATATATAGAGTCAATCCTGCTCTTACTGAAATAACTGGTGACACTCGTATTTACTTGGGCTTTAGTAAACATATGAGCAGAACTCAAGATTTTTAAAATATACTTGAAAAAAATTGTGTTTAATATTTTTCTCTGTGAGTTTTAAATCAAGTAAAGGAGCAGCAGCTGTTCGTAATCATATTAAATACTACTTACATTGACCTTCCACCCTACATGGTCTCATTCATCAAAGTTTTGAACAAAATGTATGTCTCAACACAGCCTGTGAAAATGATGCTTCAGGCTCAGACTTTCTTAGCATTCATGCTTTATGTATTAAAGACACCAGGGGAGACACTTATGACTGCTGATACTTTCATATCAACTTTGGAAATAAATACAGAGCAATGGCCCGGTACCGACCTTTGGGTTTGGTTGGGGATTTTTTGTCTACTCGTGAACTTCAAAACAAGAGCGAGTGGTCCTGGCACTCTCCCATCATCCCTTCCCGCTGCACTCACAGCCTGCCCTTGAATGAAGCTACTTATTTCGTCTGCTCCTTACAGCCTCCTCACAGGGGCTGTGACAGCAGCAGCCGCTAGCAGACAGTGGAGCACTGCTGAGCACGGAGGCTAACCGGGGTCGTTTACATCTCTTTGCTGTGCCTGTCTTTCCCTCTGTCAGAGGGGGGTCTCTGGATCTGCTTCCTCTGCACTCTTCTTTCTCTAGAAGCTGGCATGGACCCAAAAGAAAACTGTAGTGAAAAATTTGCCTCCGCTTCAAAGTTGTGCATAAAAATAACAGGCAAACCCAAATGTCCTGGATCCTCATAACAACTAGGCAGTGGTGTAAATTGTGGTAAAAATTTGCATCTTAGAAACTCATGTAGTTATATTTAATTTGCATTTAAGTATCATCAGAAACTTTTAATCTAAAGCAAATGTAAATACCTCAAAAGTTCTGATATAAATCAAAATCTGAACTGACAGCTTGTAAATGTTCAGACCATGTGGTTTTTGTTGTGTATATAAGTAAAAACTGCTAATTAAGACCTAAGCCTGAATCCAGGGTTCCAGTCTAGACCTTTGGTCTGTCTTATTTATCCTTGTAATCAATCTGTTTTGTCCTCTTCCCCAGCACCTGAGGAACGAGTTCTGTATATTTAGAGAAAATTTTTCTCCTCCCACTTTTCTCTTATCTCTGTCAGTACCAATTTATGAGTTACACACACTCACAGTATGGTCCTAAGAAAGTTTTAAAAAAAACATTCTTAGCAGGTAGTGCCCTTCCTATGTCCAAGGCAGATGTCTGCTCCTTCCACCTAACCTACCTGCATGTTATCAAGCGCACAGACCATTTCTATAGCTTTGCCTAGTGTGACACCCTGCTTACTGCTGAAAATAAAAGCTGATTGCTGACACATATCACCTATGATCCCCTAACACTTTCTGAACACAAATGTGTGTGGCACAGCAGAGAAAATCTTGTTGTTTAGGAAGCATAAGCCTATTCAACTGACAGATGCAAAACACTTCACAAATTAAGGGGAGATAGCACCACATCGAAGCTGTTGGATGTCATCACACTTGCTGATGCTTGATGTCTGTTGGAGGCAAAAGAGTTACTGCTAATCAAGGGGCTACTCTATTCCCACTCCAGCTTGTGTTCTCATGAGCACACAAAAGATATGAAGAATTAGGAAGCAGCATGCTGAAAGAAGGCATGAGGGACTCTCAACCATGTGCTGGCTAAACAAGAGTTCTACCAAGCTGGGGCACATATGGCAAGACTATTCCACTGCTACAGCCCAATAAGTCACTTCAAAAATACTCCTTTATCTCCAAAATCAACAAGATTTTTAAGGTTAGTCAGAGAAAACGTCATTTAGTTGCCTCAGGGAGTGGTTGGCCAGTTCCTATTTCTTTATATCCCTATTGTCTTGCTTCTATCTCTCTCCTTTCAAATTAGTCAGTCTTTCTGGTCAGGAACCATATGAACCAATATGATCTGTACAATCACTCAGAAATTACATCCAAGTCCTTGGCGTTTAATACAATGCATGTGATTTCATTAATATTTATCCATAATGATTACTTCATGGATACTATTTAAGAGGCTGACCCAGGATGTTCAAGTGTGTTTCCCAAGAGGAAAAGTGGACATGTTTTGTCCAAGAAACAACTCAATAGGAGTGAGTTGGTCTCTTCCATTCCATTCGTTGGTCTCTCAGTTTTCAATTCAGACTAAAGGTATGCTAAAGAGAAGGTATGTTATTAATTAAAAGATCTTTGGAAATAGTGCAAAGTTATGATTGTACTTATGACCTCTGAACAAATATGAAGTACAAAAAAATCTCACTATCCTGCTCATAAAAAGCTGTTTTTAAGGGGATTTAACTTTGATTAAACAACAACTAAACCCACAATATTACAGGTGTTACATGCATATGTTGAAGCAATAAACAATTTATGTTGCAATATTACACCTGTTCATACACATTTGCAAGACAAAATACTCCTCCCTTCCACCTTCCCCAATTACTGGGAAGATGAAGTTTTGCAGAATTTCTTGGTGAAAAAAAATGAAGGATATAAATAATTTTATCCTTTGTCCTTTTCCTCAGATTTCTAAAATGATTAGTCTATCCTGATTGTTAATGGAGCTAGAACGCCATTTGTAGACATTAAAAACCTTTCATTAACCACAGAAGTATTTTGTGCAACCTTGACTGTGGAAGCAGTCTTGCAGTGCTGTCCTGTCTGTGAACCCCCACCTCACAACCCCTCAATGTTCCTCAATGCAGAAATCAGTGAGGCTGTTCAGTTTTATGTCCCTCCTGCTCTCTTATTTAACTGCTGCTCTGACAACCACATGAATATGTGAAAGCCCATAAAACAAATACTGAAAATTACAGTTAAGCTTTGTACACCATTATTTGTACACCATTGGCAGGAACATTGATGATTGCTGTTTGTAGGTAAGAATGCGGTAGGGAAGTTATTTCTGTGCAGAAAGTTGAAAAATACATAAAGCATGGCTGATTTTCTTTTGAGATGTGCTATACAAACACATGAAACTTTTCAGATCTACAGATACCTGCAGTGCTATAGAAATATTTTTTAAAATAAATTAAAATGAAAAATATTTTAAATAAAATATTCAACACTTTCACTTCTGACAAACATAGGTCCCAGTGGCAGTTCTTTTGACAAAATGCAGAGAAAGCCTGATTGGAATCCTATTAATAAAAAAGAGGTGAAAGAAATAAGATCCTCCCCTCTCTATCCCTTCTTTCTCCTCTTCACACCAAGAACAAGATTACAGTGACAAGCTGAGAACAAGAGAAAACATGTCACCATCTCTGCCTGGAACTGTGTCATCTCTTGTGATTTACACCTGGCACATTGCTTTGAAGACTCAGGGAAAAACATGGTGTTGCTCTAGGAGCTTGTGTATCCCTGACGGATGCTGATCCTGCACTGAAGTAAAGATATGCCCAAATCATTCTTAGCCATATTAGTAAAACAATGCCTACTGAGTAGGTAGGCAGCCTCACTTCCAAATTTCTCAGTGTCAGAACAAGATGCAATCTGGTACATAGTGTTCTTGTCCGTTATTTACCACCTCAGTCAGGACTGTTGACACATCCACAGCCCTTATGCAATTCCCTCAGAAGTTCTTAGGAGCACTTTATGTTCACTTTACTTTTGTTACTGTAGCAAAAATAGACTAAAATACACCCAAGGTCTAAGGTCAATTATTACAAGTAGATCTTTAAATAGGTTATAATACTGCCACAGCATATCAGGTTTAAAGTATTATGCCTGAACCTGGTAAATGATTCCTCAGGCATGAGGTGGGGGGTGGTAGCAAACACAACAGAGAGACAGTCAGGCTTGGGAAAGACACAGTAGTAATTTATGATGAGATACATCTCTTTTTTTTTATTCCCTCCTCTTCATCCAATCACTCAAAATATTCCGTCCTTGTTCAGAAGCTTGCAAGCAACTTTACATTAACACACGTTGGTTAAAGAGCCGTGTGACAAAGCTGGCTATGTAATTAAGTTCTTCATTGTTACAAGTGTAACAGCCATCTCTTCCATACGTGATGTGGGCTGAGGCATCTGCATGAGTTATGATTCTACCACATTTTTCCACAGTCCTTAGACCATCCTCCTACCGTATATCTTCACACTTTATTTTTCTATAGTCAGATCATCGTTATTGAACTGGGAATATAGAAAGTGTTGAACAAACATGAAAAAGATGAAGCAGTCTGATGGGTTTTTAATTGCTTACGAGCTCACCCAAAACTCTCTGAGATAGAAAGGCTGGCCAGGAAGAGCAAAAGATAAGACTCTTGCATTTTAGTTCAGAAACAGCAAATTCATGTCAAATCAATGGATGAAAAAGATATAAAGAAAAGGGCAGTAGAAAGAAAAAAAGTAACCAACTTCCCAAAGATTTTAAAAAACCCTACAAATTCAAATGTTTCTTTATGTCATACTAAATAACTCTATGAGGCCTGAAAACATATATAGTTTGCCTTTCCCCCTTTAAAAATCTTTTATATTTTTCTAATAACTAACCTTTTAACAGCCTTTATTTCACCTTTTAATTACTGATAACACCTACCATGGCAGTGACACGAAACAAAACCAGACTATTGTTCTAAGCACTTACACACACAGCTCTTAGAACATACAGACATAAAGGCTCTTCCCAAGAAGCCTATGAACTCTTTTTCCCTCCAGGTTCGTCCACCTGTATTTGTCTAACACTCATCTGTGCTGTGGCTATGTTAAAAGGAAAACATAACAATAGACTGAAGTTCTCACCATTTCTGCTAAAGACAAATACAAGAACATCCCAGCTGTAACAGTAAAAATCCAGTTTTGGATGCATGGGTCGGTTGATACAGAAAGGCCGATATAAAGTCCTAAGAATGCTGTTAGCGCACTTATAAAATTCATCAATACTGCAATCTTCGTGGGGAGCCCTGTACTTAGTAGCACAGCAAAATCTCCTGTATAGAGAAAAAGACAGAAAATTTATCACCTAGCTGATAGATGTATTTGTAAGACTCTTGGTAATAAAACATGAAGGAAAATAATTAAGATACGCACAAGGATAGCGAATGGTGGAGGACTGCCCTTAGATTTCTGTAAAATTAGTTATAAACTCATCCTTTGCAGGAAAAAAAACCCCAACAAACAACAAAACCAAAAATCCCATATTGACTTGTATTTGTTTAGCTGTTCCTAAAGATAGCATACAGTATACAGGAGTGGCTTCCTGCTAGTTCTCGATGTTCTGTGACATTTCCAACTCGGATACATGCAAAAGTGAAGTCACATGCTTTCCCAGAGTTTCTAAATCTTTCTCCACTGGGAACTTGCCAGTTCAAATCATGTGAGTGTATTTGCAGCATGGCCTTTGAGTGTTTTACAGGTGTTGCAAGTCAGAAACCTGTTAGTCTTATTCCAGTTTGAGTTAAATTACATTGATTTCAGACCTAATTAACTTTGGTAAATTGTACATCAGAATCCCATCATGGATGTTTCTTCTAAAATAAATGATTTCATAACAGGTCCACAGTAAAAGATTTTAAAAACTTTTCTCTGTGAGTGTAGAAATGCCACTTTGACAGTGAGGCACTACTGCCCCAGTATTAAGAAGGGCCGTCTTTGGAGTTAACTGTTCAGTATTTCAGTAATTTCTTTGCTATGCAAACAAGAGTTACCAGATTTACAGCAATTCCCCATCCCACCTTTTTGTTTGGGGAAGTTTTCTACATAGACAGCACATGAAATCTTTAGTCATTTAAGAACAGAAATGAGAATCTGCAGTTCTCATACTTGCCGGCTTGTGTATGTTCATCAACACAATGTCAGAAACAACTTCAGCCATACTGAAAGATTTACCACAAGTTGATAAGGGAAATGTACAACAGAACGATCTTCCTGTCCTGACCGCTGGTAAAATGGGTTGTATATCCTCTTTTATTATCTTGTTATTCTTGATTAGCAGCAGGATTGGGGGTAGCATGAGGAACACATTGTCAAATGGCTCTCCTGCATATTAAAGCTCTTGGACAGCCCGCATGTCAGGCACACATGGCTCTTGCTAACAGCTTACTATTTTTTGTGTCTGTACACATGAGAATAACTGGTCACTCTTGACCTCATGGCATTTACATTTGGAAAAGGTGAGATGGGATGGCACCCAATAATGAGGGAGAAGCCTCCCTTCTTTTTTGTGAAGAAGAAAGAGAAGAAAACAGCCTCTATATATCCATCTCGAACCTTAATGTTATAGTTCATGATGCTATAAGCAAAAAGAATTCTCACTAGTGTCATATAGGAAAGAATTCTTTGGGAAACCTGGGACTACAAAGCCAATCAGGAAAAATACACATATATATTCCTTACCCATTTCATGAGGAATTTCATGGCATAAAATAGCGACAGTCGTTGTCACACCTGTTTCTGTCGAGGACGAGAATGCTGCTCCTATCACCAAGCCATCAGCAAAATTGTGAAGACTGTCACCCACTAGAACCATTATTGCTAACAAGCTAATTTTCCTACCTAGGAAATAAAAACAAACAAAACCAACAAAAGCACCCAGAAGTTTTAACACAGATATTGTCATTTTCCTATGTTACGAATTATTTGTTTTTTTTCAGATATAACAGTGTGAAAACTCATAATAATCAGAGGACAACAGTGTTTAACTGTTTGGTCCTTGCTATTATACTTCTTTAATACATTTCAAATAAAAAAGCAGGTTGTAGAATAATTCAGAGGTGCAAACCAGGAAGTAGCTTCTTTATTTTCACTGGGTGAACAAAAAGATAAAAACTTGGAGTTTGGTTTGACTCCAGTCTCATGATAAGTCCTAAAGGTTTCCTTCCATCTTTCCCTGGTCAGTGAAATTCATGCAAGCTTTTTTTTGCATTCTAGATGGGCTTTTTCCTTAAAAGGTGAGAGTTTTTCCACTGTCACTCACTGAATTGCACAGCTATAATGAAGATGAATATCTAGTCTCATGCAGCTGATCATTTTAACACTGTAAAGCACGTTACTACTGAGTAATATCTTCAGAGTCTGTTTTTTATGAGACTATATTACTGTGAAAACAGAGATGAAAGGCAACAGTCCTCAGAGTATCGCTATTAGAACAGTGTTACAGCATGCTCATTTCCAACTTTTGTTCCAATCAATTAATGGCCACTATGCTCAGTGTACGCCTGTCTGCAGCATCACTCATGGATGCAGATGGCTGTTTTTCTTTCCCATATTGTTCCGTGACCTTGCTTTAGTGTGGAACAGTACATTGGGTGTTCATGATCAGGCATCTGACATGAGAGGAAAGGTGTTACTAGTGATAAGATCAAGCTAGGGAATTAGGAACAGTCTATCTGTCCAGCCTGTAACCCAGACAGCCAAGAGTAGGCTGAATGCATTCACGGGAAGGGATTTTACCTCTTCAAGTAACAATGAGGCTCCATACCTAGGCTTAATATGTAGGCTTAGCAACATATAACTGGCTCCCCTGTCCCGCACTTTGTTCCATCCATTTGTACCCGCAGTCCTACAAGCAGGACCTTCTAATCCCTCCCAGGAAACTCATCCAGCTTCCTTCTGCACCGTACGGACAGAACAGTTTGCAAAGGGTTGCTTTCATGCCTGAAGAAACAGGATCATGATTTAGGCCCTAAACATCATGTATTTTCCTGACTTTTGTTGGCCCCACACAGACATAATATAAGTCTAAAGAGCTAATGTGGAGCTGCACAGAACTGTCTGAATATAGTTATTACAAGGTAATGTTTTTCCAGAGATGACCATTTTATAGTAATGGGGGAGATGTTTTTCTTGCAGAAACTGGCTAGAACTGAAGTCTTCAAACTATTATAAAAAAACCACACAGCACACAAAAGCCTAACAACTGTATTCAGAAAATCCTCCCTAGTTGCCCGGGAGCTCTGCGGGTTCAGAAAAATTGGCAGGCTTGTTAGATTTTCCTGCCAGCTTACAGAGCCAGACGTGGATGTCCCCAGTTTGCACAGTTCTTTCTAAACACTATGGGCAGTTTATAATCAATAGTGCAGAGCATGAATTACATAGAAAAGACAGATTGCTGCATTACATTAAGTTTGTAATATGTAATAAGCACTGGCGAGGCCAAAATCATGGCCTGTCCTGAGATACTATTAGTCTGGTTTATTCAAGTATCTGATTGTTAAAGAAGATATACCACGGTTACTGGAACTCACTCCAGCGTGTGTCTATAATATAACATAGGGATCAGGTTAACGTTATGGAGGAATTGCAAATGTAAGCTTTGTGAACTTACTTGGCTGAAAGTTAAGAAAATGAGTATATAAACAAATCTGAATGTTTATCTTAATTTACTTCAGCCTATTTTAAAGCGACTTTGTTACTAGCAATTATCTCACTGTATTACACCTCTGCAACAGTAACTATTAACTTACTACCCAAACTATTTCTGCAAAGCCTCCTCTTCTTAAACAATCCTACATTTATTTTTTTATAATTCGCCCTGCTTAAATAGGGGATCAGAACTCATAGCAAATTCTATTCCATAACTTTCATAAAGCTGATGGGTGCAGGACTCCCACCATAGATGATGCTTTTTAAGCTTCGATTAAGAGTTTAAAGTAAACATTTATCCACAAATAGATCTTTTTTTCCCCCAAGGTTTTTATTATTCGTACAGTAGTAATATATCTAGTTAGTGTAAAGTCTCACTGATTATTCCAAATGTAAAATGCTACTCTTTAATCTTTTCAGATATTGATAGAACAAGTATGGATAAATGAGGAGAGGGCCAGGGAGACATCTTTTTCTTCCAGTAGCTTCTTGTTTTCTGAGCTACTCACTGGCTATCTAAGGTGACTGACTCCTCTCACAGTCCTATTTGACATGGGTTTACAGTGAAGTCTGTCATTTGTGGAGATGTCAGGCTTCTGTCTTAGAGCTGCAGATTACATTCCATTTGGGGAAAAAAACACCTAAAAGTTTAGCTGAGTATCAAGGTGCCCAGGTATGTTTATGCACTTAGCTATTCACAAGAACTGTTACAATACAAACTTTTGAAAATATGTATTCTCAAAAAAAAACCCCTAAACCAAAACACACACACACCCCCTTCCCTACTGTGGCTTGGCTAACTGATTGATTTCTAATCTAGAGGTAAAACTGAGATATGAGGAAAAAATGGAACGAAACAAAGAACATTACTGAGAAACTATCCCAAATTTAGTAATTTTGAACAGATAACATTGAGATCACTAGAAATTTGTTTGTGCTTAGCAGGTAGTAATGATTGAACATAATGGAAATATCTAGAGATGGACTAGATAGTCACACGGAAACTGGCACTGGATTGTGAACTGCTGGATAGGTGAGAGTGAAGAAATGGAAATCCAGATTTCAAATGCCTCAGAAATGGAAATGAAGCCCACAAGAACAGAGAAGAATATTAAAAACCTAGAAAAAGATAATGACATGGTTAAATAAATCAAACTGGTGACCTGAGATCTAAGATCACAAAATAAAGGGGAGCTGATTATAGTAAATAAATTGATTTCAATTAAAATGTTATTCCCTCAATTGAATGACTGCAACTCTACTCAATTCCCCAAGGTCACACAAGTATAGTGAAAGGCAGTTTGGTTTATGGTCTACTTTCCTGGTTTTTGGACTAAGCAGCAACAAACCAGAGAAGATAGGAATTACTTTGAAGTTCTCTGAAGAAAACAGATTATCCTAAAAAAACGAGCCATCATTAACCCATAATTTCATACATGTAATAAATCACTACTGGTTTCAAGAGGCTATTTTACTGTGCAAGAGGAGAAGGAAGCATGATTATATTAGTATAGTGAGCCAACAAAACAATCATTTCACTACCTTCAGAAATAAAAGCCCAAGCAAAGTTTACAATTATAAAAATCTGTTTTGTATTAAATTCAGACTATTTCCCTTTAAGCAAAATCTTTAGAAAAATGGTTTGCAACAGTGAGTAAATAAACACTAACGCATGGACAGTATAAAATTAATGAACTTTGTAATTACAGGGTTGGCAGCTGAAAAGGTCTTTAGGCAGAGACTAAATTATATAGCCAAGCACCATCAGATGTGATGATATAGCACACAGCAAACTCAGAGCTAAGCCAGCTTCACACTTTCAATTCCATCTTAAGTCTGAAGGCTTTTCCTGTTACTTGTCTAGTCTTCTAATTAATACTAACTTTTTTTGCTGATCACCTTACTCTCTGGAGGAACTTCAGCAGACTCAGAATCTTCTGGGCTTCTCTAGTAAAAGGCAAAGATAATGGATCAGTGTTAGAGTGGCTCTTCCAGCTGCTGCTATAAATACAGGAAAATATCAAATAAGTTCAAGCTTTTAGAATTAAAGATAGTTGCTGTTGTTTGCATAGATATCATTAGAATTATATATTAAGTACTGGCGGTGTGATTGGTACTGCAGAAACACATAAAAAAAGAGATCCCCCATGCCCAGAAGAGGTTGCAGCCTAATTCAGGTAGGAAGACAGACATGCATAAGCACTGCTGTAACCAAAGAAAATCATGTTTCTGCTTGAATACACAAAAATATGAGCCAAAGGCAGAACTAAAAAGGACATTATAATTCAAATGGTATCTTTTGATTTTGTCCTGACCAGATGATTGTAGTTGCCTGGTGGATGATAGGATGTCTATAGAATTTCCAAGGAAAAAATGGAACTTTCTTTGCAGTTCATATTCTTCATAGAAAACACTAGGCTAAAAAAAAGATGATCATAGGTAGGTTTCACACCCTTTCAAAACACAGGGGTTTTTTCTTCAGGGTGGTGCAGCCTCCAGTGCCTTCCCTCTTGGCCTTTAGTTAGGGGTTTGTTTCAGCATTGGGCATCACTGGCTGGGCATAGCAGCACATGAGTAGACTCCACTGCCATGAGTGAAATTTACCCTTATTTCAAGTGAAGAGACAGTATATTTGTCCTTATCCTACAGAGTTAATTTGATTTGATAATGTTTAATTAACAGAAACTGCAACTGTGGGGAGAGAAGGGAGGACATGAGGAACCTCTCTCCCCCTACCCCCCTGGGGCTTATTCTTCTGACTAGAGAAATTATTAGAACTTTGCATGAGGTGAGATAAGCCAAAAAAATTGTTTGCTTGAAACTAGAAAAACTGAATTTATAATCGCTATCTTTTCCTTTTTTGGCCAAAAAAGAATATTAAAGCTATTATGGCGGACAGTGAAGAGTCAGCAGCAACATGAAAGTGCTTTGTTAGGGACAGCAGCCTCCACTCCAAAAACTATAGCAGAGATGTGTACTGGCTGCACAACAGGATATGTTTCTTGGCTGGTATTATCTTGGTTGTCATGTGGGATATGTGCTGTAGAAGCATGAGGAGGGAAGGGAAAGGATTTGGGTTTTAAATTCTACATTTTAAAGGAAAAATAAAAATCTTTAATTCCCATGATCGCATCCAGTCATATGAATTCAGTAATTGGTCCACTTCTTTTATAATATTTATTCACATGCCACTTCTTTGAACTCTGAGTCAAAACTGCAAGACTAATCACTGACCTGAAGGATTTATAAGCTTTTCTTAGTCAACCAGTGTTTGTCTTACTATTACTCACATGATTCTGAAAAATTGGCTGCTCTTGTACCGACTAGCTAAGCCAAGCTAGTTCATGTGATCTATACATAACTTTAGGGGGATCTTGCAGCTGAGAGAATGACAAGGTTGTTCATTATCATAAACACAAAGCTATGATGTGGCTCACAAATTAGTAAACATTCTTTACTCATCTGTTTGCTCTGCATTCGACTGAGAGTTTCCCAACTGTGTCTGAGAGATCAGCAGTGGCTCATGGGGCTCTTAACCATCACTACTGCTTTGGCAAAATCGAGTTCACATTACAAAAGATCTCTGAAGATTCTGATTTAAATAACCAGGAACCTATGTATCTAGATACTACATATAAACTGAAGAGATTTCTTGGCAAAATGAGAAAACAGATTGAAACGTATGAGTCAATTTAGTTTGCAAAGATCTATCTGTCTGGATACCCTCCACAGACCAATAGAGAATTATGTAACTTCTTACAGGTAAGCATCATTCCCAGATACCCAGCTTGTTTACGTTACTCTTCAAATCTGTGGAAAAATGCCCAAGAACGGTCCAAGATTTCATCTGTTCACTAATTATGCATTTAATTCTCACTGCAGAAAATCCCGAAGTTTTTCCCATTAGGAAAGTCTGCCCTTACGTATGATAAATCTTTAAAAAGAAGGAAGGAGGAAAATCTTCAAGAATTTTATCAACAAAAGGTAGTACAGGAAGTATGTTGTTATGTCAGTCTGATACACACTTAAGAAAAATTCTAAAAATCTGTGTTGGAAATCTCTGTAAAAGCTTGTCATGTAATAAAGGACAAATCAATAAAGACTGAAAAATATAACTGATTTATTATGTTAATTTTGTTCATTTTTTGAGGAACAGAGAAAGGATATAAAATCAGGGAAGTATGTCATATTGGTAACCTACCAACTGTATGCTTGAAGTAGAATTGCCTCTGCCTGAATGTTCATTTAATTCAGATTCCACTGGAAGATCATGGGAATGTCCCCAGTGCCCATTAACTAAAGAAAGGCCCTGCTGAATGAAGATGCTTTGCAATTAGTTCTGAAACTCAATGAACACAGGTGCACTCTTTCTCAGACTTTTGTGAAAGTTTAGCATTTATAAGAATTATTTTTTTTTCCAAACAAAACCTATTGAAAACGATTGTTGGCTGGCAGCAACATTTCCTAATGCTATTTTGGTTAAAAAAAAAAAAAACCCTGAAAATTGAATCAGATAAATCAGTGACAACCATAATGGTTTGATAAAACTTGTTTCAGTTTAAAATTTGAAGCTGAGATGGATATAAAATTTAACTTTGAGAATTAATCTAGTTCTCAGTAGAACAAGTTTGTGAGATGATGATAAAGCCCTTCTCTCCAAATCACTAACAAAAAAGGACTACTTTTTACCAAATAAACCAAAATACCACCATCATCAAAATATTCTCATTCTGTTAACCTCACATAATATTCTTATGGCTGACCCAAAGACAGTGGGAATAGGGACTCATTGCTACGTATCTAAATCAGGCCAGTCATTAAACATTCTCTGTAAAACAGAGCAAGCAAAGGCTTAGTCTTTTTAAGTGATATTAAGATAGCCTCCCATGCTGAGAAACTTAATGAGCCATCACACTTTGCGTTACATTGCATCCTTGTGCATAATCATATTTTCAGGCACCAGCCATGCTGAAATAAAGTAATAGAATTACTATAAGCATGGCAGAGAGCAAGGAGTTCTTGTTAATGTAAGTTTGGGTTCTACAGACCGTAATGTATATATTAGATTTTTAGATCTATTGGGATAGGGGTCAAAAACAATTCAGAAATTTTAAGATACTGTTCTTGAAAATATCTTGTGCTTACATCTACATCTTCTCCCTCTTCAAACAGAGCCTACAGTAAACAACTGTCATTGCTATTTCATACAGATACACTCTTCACCTGCTCCAGTGCTAGTCATGAAAGTTCGCTTACTGAAAACGTTCACTTAACTGTTCCCTTCTTGGGTTCTAAATATACAGAAAACATTCATGAAGCATACAAAACCAATAGAGCAAAGCAAAATAGAAACTGAAGGTCAATCAGTTAGGAGCACTTTGGAAAGAAATTTTTAATGCTTCATTTAACTCCTACAAATGATAATTATTTTCCACAACCGTTTTAACATTTTGTGCACTGTAACATCTCAAAATAAAAGATATTTGTTTAAAGGATAAATTGTACGAAGCTTTACCTGACCATGTGGTGTTACCAAAAGAAAGAAACACTTTTCTATCAGAAAAAATCCGTGAATTCCTCCAATTATTCCCAAAAGTTTCCAAATATATTCTTTCCCCTCATAGAAATGCTCTATCTCTTGTGCTTCATGTTTATGTAAACCAAGAGTCTAAAAAAAAAAGATATAAAGTAAAAAAATTGAAAATAGCACTGTTTTAATTTTTGCTACAGTAATCCATAATGTGTTAATTCAATTTATTCTCAAAAATGTCTTTTGCCATCTCTTTCAAAATTAATTTTGTTTCTACTGGATACGTCACTTAAAACTGGTGAAGGAGAATACTTTCACATTCAAAAGGTGTTTTTCCAAAGAAATGCATTTGTCTGACATTCACTGAGAATTGCCCTCCTTAAACTACTCTCCCAGTTCTGCTCCCAGAAATGATGTATTGATCAAGAAGAACATTTTGACCAGAATCTCAAGTGAAGGTGTGAAGCACTTTCAATGATGAGCTGGAGTCTACTCATAACAGTTGTGTCATATCAAAGGAGACTCAGCCAAAAATATATGAAGACACAATGGAAAATTTAGTTCTGTTTTACACACTATCCTATTCTTAAAATTTATTTTATTAATATAGGAAAAATCATAGCACCCATATCATTACAGGTCTAGGCAGCAGGATCAATTAGGCTGATAGCCCCTGGTTCTCTGGAACAATGTGTGAAGGGGACTGTGGATGCCTTGTACAATTTCTCCCAAAATGTGTTATAGAATCTGCCTCAGAGTTTGATACACATCCAGAAACCTGGCTTGCACAGGACTTGTGGGTTTTCTGAAACATTCGTGTCGAATTAGGAACCTTATTTTCTCTGAATTCATCATTCATTGATTTCTGCTTCTTACTACTCGGAATCTCTCTCTGAACTACAAAGTGCAAATGTAATTGGAACGCTGGGTAGTCAGTTCACAGATTTCATGGAAAGTTTTATTTTTAAACAGATGAGCATCAGCCAGGTTTAAATCAAACTTTTCCACGTGTGTGTGTGTGTATGTGCAAGCGCATGTGCACATGCGCACATATCTGTCAACATTTTACAAACACAAAGGTGCGCATTACCTACCTGAGGAATAAGGTGTAGTAATGCATCTCCGGAAAGGGTCCCAACTGCCAAACCGACAAACAGCTGTAAAATGAGTGTATAGATTTCTTGACAGGAGTTAAATAAAATGAGGGTTGTACCAAACATAGATCCAATAGTAATAAGTAAAACAGCAACAGTGCTGTAACCATATTCTGTAGGGA